CAAACAAGGGGAAATAAAATTTTCCCTCCCCTCCCTTCCCCTCCCCTCCGTTTCCCCCAAACCAAACATAGGCTTAAATAAAAACAAACCTTCATATGTACACACACACACCAAATAATTTGATGTGTTCCACGCACATTTAAAGAAGAATCAACCATAGTATTATCCAAATTTTTATTTCATTAATATCGAGTAAAATTCTTAGCAATATGAAAAAATATATATATATATTGAGATACCATTTATTACCATATGTGGGTATATTGGATCAATTTAATATACCAAAGTATTCGATTTCATAAATTATCGATAAAATACAAAAAATGATATCAAGTTTAACCACGAAATTAATTGTCCAACGTACAAAAAAAAAAAATCAAGACTCACGTTTATTATAGATAAAAATAAAAAAAGACCAAAAAATAGTTATTATAAAATAATTAAATAGAAACTGCAATTAACACAATTATTTTAGAATATTTTTATAAGAAATTATAATTGAATAAATCAATCGAACTTACACGATCTGCGTAATTAGAATATCTTAAAAATATAAATTTTTATTGCCTAATTATTTCCTTAATTATTCACGATTTGAGCAAGTAAATACAAAAAAATAGAATAACATTTATTAAATAATACATAAATAAAAATTGTCACTAACACAATTTTTTTAGAACAATTTTTGCAAACTACATATTTAATGATTGTTGTCGATATTTCCATAATTGTAGTAGTTATTTACAGATTGAATAATCAGTCGAATTTACACAATTTGCGTAATTAAAGTATATTAAAAATGAATTTCACAAAAGAATTATACGAAAAATATAAAACACTTATTAGATAATAATTTTAAAAATTAATTGAAATTTTTATACCAAAACACATAGTTGATATTGCAGTCGAAATTTCCATATTTGTGCAAATCAGCTTATTCACGTGATTTGAGTACTTAAGGTATATTGCATGAATTTACCATAATTGATTATTTGAAATATACCATAAATTGTTTAAATTAATTTGAGTAATACCTTAAAAAAGAATATTTATATGGATTAATTATTTCCTTAAATAATGAGCCGCAATTTTCATTAGTGATTATTTGAAATATACTATAAATTGTTAAATTAATTTCCCAAAATACTAAATAGAATTTTTTGGAGAGAAATATTTACTATTTCAAAAATAATCAAACCTTTATATATATATATATATATATATATATATATATATATAATAGCTGCAAGTTTTGTCAATATATTATACTAGTACAACACCCGTGTATTACACGGGTGTTTGCTAATTTTTTTTCTTAAAATT